CATAGATGAGGCTCAGAAGTTCTGTTTGTTTTGGAAGCCAGATAGTGTGGGAATAACAGTAAGTGTCACAAAGCTAACAGCAAAGGTCATCTATATCCAGAGTTCTGAAGTCAGAAACCTTTGTGCACTGCTCTCTTTTTTAGTGAGAGGTGAGGGGAAGCTGCTTGCTTGACTGCCAGTTTGTGATCCTTTGTCTTTTTAAACAGATAATTGAAGAAAATGAATTAATTTTCCAGAAACATTGTGGTAGCAGAGCTTATCCTCAGGCTTAAAAACAAACAAACAAACAACCCACTGCAACAAGTGTAGTTTGTATCTTGCACGTGTGTTCAGCGAGGGTTTTTTTCCCCCCAAATATTCCTAAGAGATGTGAAATCAAAGGCAGATTTTTTTGCTGAGGGGTAGGCTTGGTTCTGCTAACATCATAGGCATTAACAAAAACAGCTACAAAGCAGCTCTGATGTTAATGAACAGGTTTCTTTTTTTATATTATTTTTCCCTCTTCTTTGATATTTGCTCTCACGCTTGGCTTGTCCAGAGAGGATTTTGGTTTGGGAATTTTGTCCTTGGTATTAGGAGATGTCCTTGCTGACTGCAAATCTGGAATCTAGAAAAATGACCTAGGTAAAAAAAATGACATAGGATTACTAGAGAGGTAAACTCCCCTACAGGCACTGAATTAATAATTCTGACACAATTTCACTTACATTTAAGTTTGGCTTTGATACATGCTATGTGTGACAAATCCTAAAATATATATATTCATCTGAGCACTTCTGAAGTTAAAAGAGCTGGTACAAGGAGGGGTTTACGTTGCCCTCTGCCCCTCATGGTAGCTCTCATCTTAAAGTTAAACCTAATGGGGAATAAGTCTGGCCCATTCTTACTGGTTTCTGCAGTGGCTCAGGGCAGTAGGTTTGGCCGAGGTTATTTTAATTTGAGGAGCTGTAAGCATTTTCAGAGCTATTTATTTCAAATAACAGATTGTTCTAAGCCCCCTCCATCCCATTCCCAAATGCTTTGAGGCCAAAATTAGGTTTCAAAGATCGTGCAGCATAACTGTTTGGGGATGCTCTATTTGATAGGATGCAATTGTAATTCATCCTCTTTATCAAAAATCTGTGGCTCATCCCACTCAGGCTAGCAGAGAACTGAGAGTCTCTTTTGCTAATTAGCAGAGTTTTCAGCAGCACATTCTTGTTAGTAATAAAGACTGTTTACTATAAATTAGTATTCTGTTGATGTTAAAAGATGTAAATGAGCAGTTCTTGCCAGTTTGGAACAATATGTTCACACAGTCAAAAATAAATGCTGATTTTTAAAGAAAGTTTAACAGCCAGATTATACTGTTGTTTAGGACAAAAAATACGTGTTTGTAAAGCTGATTGAAAGCTTTTCATTTAAGAAAGCAAGTGCAACAGACCATAACTTTAATGAATGTCTACATGTTGTATTACTGACAAGGGGTATATAAGGAGATTATGAGCAATAGAATATTTTAGTGCTACCTTGTTATGTATTCAGCAGCTTTCTCAGGTAGCCTGAAGAAATAGCAAGAAAATAAGAAACTGAGTAAATGCCCTTGTGTTTGATGAAGTAGCTGGGTCCACCACCTACACGGAAGTCCAAGAGGGTGGAATGTCTCAGCACTAATGAAAATCAGATGATGATGTACTTGCCTGAATCTGTGTTTCATCTCATCTGTATCCACAGCTATCAGATTCCTACAGGGAAGAAGTGCAGTCATTAGACATCAGGTACTGCACAGTACTGTTCCAGAGATGTGGCTGGGTGTTAACTGTAATTCCATTTCAGAATCCAATACACATCTTTAAAAATCAAAGCAGTTTTGTTTTGTTTTTGAGGTCTGCAAAGTATTACTTGGGCCTAACCTGCATTTGGGGAGAAGGAGGCTGCATTTATGGACGAATCCCTGCTTCAGAACATATTGACTAAGGGTACAGTTTTGTGGTTCTTCTGTGCCATGAGTGACTGTGACCGAACCCATCAGTATCTGCCAGTAATACAAAATCATTAAGGCTGGAAAAGACCTCTAAGATCATCTGATCCAACTGTCAAGCCATTTTCACTAACCCTGTCCCTTGTGCTGTATCTACACATTTCTTGAAAACTTCTGGCAACGGTGACTCTACTGCCTCCCTAGGCAGCCTGTGCCAGTGCCTCTCCAGTCCTTCTGAGAATTTTCCTGATATCCAACCTGAACATCCCCAGTGCAATTTGAGGCCATTATCTGTTCTATCACTAATTACCTGAGAAAAGAAGCTGACCCTCCCCACCCCCACAGTCTCCTTTCAGGGAGTTGTAGGGAGTGGTAAGGTCTCCCCTCAGCCTTCTCTTTTCCTGACTAAATAATCCCATTTCCCTTAGCCTCTACGTTACATCTGTGCTCCACATAGCTTTGTTGCCCTTCTGTGGATGTGCTCCAGGGCCTCAATGGTTTTCTTGCAGTGAGGGGCCTGGTACCGAATATAGTACTTGAGATGTGGCCTCACCAGAGCTGCGTACAAGGGTATAGTCACGTCCCTGCTCCTGCTGGCTGCACTATTTCTGATACAAACTGGAATGCCATTGGCATTCTTGGCCACTTGGGCACACTTGTGACTCCTGTTCAGCTGGCTGTCAATTAACAGCCCAGGTCCTTTTTTTCTATACAGTTTGCTAGTCACTCTGCCCCACGTGGTCATAGAAGGAGAGGAGGGTGGTCGAGCAGGACCCGAATCTATGCTGGCTAGACCTGATCCTCTGGATCACACATACTTTGTCATATCATTCAAGATACTGTTCCATGACCTTTCCCAATACTGAGGTCAGGCTGACCAGTCTATAGTTCCTTCTTCCAATGATTTATGTAGTCAGGAATCACATTTGCCTTGTTTCCTGGAACCTCCCCAGTTGACTAGGACTGTCTTGGCAACCACTTCTTCCAGCTAGTTTAGCACCCTTGAGTGGATCCCATATGGCCATATGGACTTGTGACAGTCCAGGTAGAGTAGCAGGTTGCTAACTGTTTCCTCTACAACTATGAGGGGTTTATTTTGCTCCCCATCCTATCTTCCAGCTCAGGAGGTAATAAGTGCTAACTCTCCTTTTTTGTTTATTTTATTTTTTAAACTTGTTGGGATCAAAGATTGCTTTACCTCATTCCTTGATATTATTATATTTTTCTCCCAATGAAAGCTGTAGTGTCATTGAGAGCCTCACACTCTGCAGTAACGTGCTGTATCTGAATCAGAAAAAAATACAGGGATGAAAAACTGAGCTTTTTTAATCCACTGTTGTATTTTCTGTCATGAATGCAAGAAACTCAGAGAGGTGGGAAGTAGGATTTCTTTCAAGCCAGCACACTGCCCAAACTGGTTTTGAGCTTTCACAACAGCACTAGCTGTTGTGATGTCACCTGGTTTGAACAATGACTGAATAACATGACAGTTTGTATGCCTGGCATAACTTCTTCAAAATCTTGCAGATGTAAGAGGAGTCTTAATCTTCACTTGTACTGGCTGAAGGCCTCCTCCCTAATCAAATTGGTAGAGTCCTAAACTAGTAAGGGCTGGAGAACTGTGAAGATTGGGGCATGGTGAGGCTGGAGAAATGGGTAGAGGGGAAGTAACACAAAGTTTAACGAGGGGAAATGCAAAGACATGATCCTGGAGAGGAATAACCTTATGCAAAGTGTGCGTTGATGGCCACCCAGCTAGGAAGCAGTTTTGCAGAGCCTGGGGACCTGGGGTTCTGGTGGATACCTAGCTGAACGTGAACCAGCTGCATGCTCAAGGGCACCCTGAGATGCATTATAAAGAGCATCTCCAGCAACCTGAGAAGATGGTTATTCACTTCTACACAGCACTGGAGAGACAACAGTAGCAGCAGTGGTAAATGTCATAGCATAGCTCACATTACAGTATCTGAGACTTTGGTTTCTGAAAAAGAGTCAAGCCTCTAGCATTATGTTTAAGTTTAGAGAGGACTGTTCACATTAACTGTAATAGTTGTATTAAGTACACACTGAATGCATGGTTCAAGTTTCCAACAACTGAAGACTCATTGTCTGCATGTTCTCTTGAGGAAATTTTCCATTAAAAAATACCCAAAGCATTCTTCAGTATCTATGCTCTGATTTAAATCAAACAGAGATTAAATTGTTCTTACATTGTTGGGTTGTTTGCATGTGTGAGTCATAAGTCTACAGTGTGTTTTGTCTGAGAATTATAAATATGCAAACTAGTATCTGAGGAATTTCCATTAACATTTAATAGCATATATTAGAATGGTTCAGGTATTTACAAAAGAAAAAAAAGTGATTTTTGGCCAGGAACAAACAGTGAACTGGGTTTGTTTGAACAAACTTTTAATGCTTTTAATGAAAGCATGTTAAAATATCTGTAAGCTAATTACATGGGTTTTGTCCTCACCTAGACACGTGCGTTGGCACTATGGCTCATATTTCCATATCTTTGTGTCTTAGCAAGCTAATATGTGATGTAAAGCAAAAGTTGCTATAAGCTCAGAAGGACAAAATTTGCTCCTCGTTTTGTAATGTCCACGAGACAGCCGTTGCCTTTTGTTTGGTTTTCCAAGCTTGATTTCTGAAGGTTACATGCAACTTACAGGGGAGAAATGAAGGGCAAATTAGTGACAAATTAATCTCAAGTGTTCTTGTGGTTATTGGTGTCTGTCAAATGCTGAGTTATGAAAAGAAGAAAGAATGTTGATCATCAGCTTTTTTTTATTTCACTGAGAATCCTTGCCACTTTATGTGGGCAAAACTTACCTCTCTGAAAGTGATTTGGTAATGAATAATGTTGTCACTTGTGTTGTTAATGAAAAGAATAATGAGAACTTATACTGAATCCTTAAAAGCACATAAATTCACAATGCTCATTTGGAGGCCAGACTTGCACTTGTATGGAGTTTTAGTTGCCAATGTTTTTTTTCTTTTTTTCCTGTCTGGATAACTGTTTTCTGATTCTTTGTTTCAGCTGAAGGAATGACTGCGTTCTGTGAACATCTGAAATCATCAGCTTTATTGAAAGAATGAGGACCAGAAATTTTAAGTGAGGTACTGCAGTTTTGCTGTTTTAGTAGGAAGCCAATTGTTAATCTTCAGGTTAAGTCAGACTTCTTTCCTGTGACTTTTTGGTTTTATTCACAGAGGAAGAAAGGCTGATAAGCACATGTAAACCAGCAGAAAGCGAGGCGATGTTATGATACTGTTCTCAAGGGAACAGAAAAGCATCTTTTCAAAGATCACTGACCTGAAACTATAAACTTACTCCTTTTTGAATTAATATCAAAAATCTCTTTGATTCCAGGAGGAGGAGAATCTTTGGTTTCTATCTTGTGTGTCTCTTTCATGTACTCAAGCATTCAGAGCATTTTCAAATCAAATGCTGAATTCCTTCTAGCATTTCTATCATCTTTATTAAGTACTGGCTTTTTAATGTAGTTTTCGGCTTGTTTTCTTTCTGCCTTCAACTTATAAATTTTTTGCTGCCTTTCAAATTGTATCTTCTGTTTTTATTGCATTACAGAAGATTGTGCTTCCTCTCTCCATATTTGCATCTTTTTGATGTGAAAACATTTGTATGAAATGTATCCATCATATACTAAACCTGATATGTAAATGATTCTTTTCCTTCAGAGCTAGAGTAGCAAGGCAATCTACTAATACATTTGTGCACAAAATTGCAGATGAAAGCTGGAGTGGGAGTGAGAGCAAATGAAAGCAGAGATGAGGGAGGAAGGAATGGGAGAACAGCAGAAGGGAGGAAGGACTTCAGAAAGTGAAGTGTAGCAGTAAGTTGCTACTTCTTTTTCACTACATCATCTGTAAACTTCTATATAAGAACAAGGGACAGATTTCATGGGTATTTTAAGTATGTAAATAAGACCGCCGAAGACATTTGACACTTTTTGCATTATCTAACTGGACAAGAGGAATGACTTAGAAGTAAAAGAGGGGAAATTTAGGTAAGATGTTAGGGAGAAGTTTATTCAGAAGGTGGTGAAGCACTGGCAGTGCTGCCCAGGGAAGCTGTGGGTGCCCCACGCATGGAGGCATTTAAGGCCAGGCTGGATGGGGACCTGGGCAGACTGATATGGTGGGTGGCAATCCTGCCTGTGGAGGGGATATGAACTGGATGATCTTCAAGGTCCTCACCAACCTAAGCCACTGTATGATTCTTTGATTTTCAAAATGCTCAAACATACCAGTGCAGATCTGTCTTTATCTTTGAATGCTTAAAATACATTTGGAAATCTTGAGGTTTCAAGTCTGATCAGATTTCAGCTGAGAGCCAGCTTGGTTTCATAATTCCCAGGTTCTGTGCACTTAGGGTATGGGCTTAAATAATAAAGATTGGGTTGCTGCAGCACAGCAGCATACTTCAGGTGTGTATATAACACATTGCTGGATTTGTAAGAGTTAAGCACCATAGATTTATTGGAGTGATCCTAAAATGAAACAACTTTTTTTTGTTGTTGTTAGTCTTCCTTGTAAATCTAAAAACAAAATCCAAATTTGATCTGTATTAGATATTTACACTGAATCATTCCTCAGAAACTTAATTTGCTGATACCCTTACTATTACATGCAGTGAGATAACAGGCAGCTTCAATGCAAATTTAAACAAGTCGGTCTGTTTTTTAATTAAGGGTATAAACTTCTGCCCCTGTCTTTTACAATGCTTTACCCAATTTTTATCCTAGTGAGCAAGAAAACTCTGCTTTTAACAGTTGTTCAGCCTGCTCTGTCTTCATCTTTGAAAAGATGCTTTTGTGTTCACTTGGAATACGGTGTAAGTTTTTTTGACTATCTTTTGGTTTTGAAGTTTCCTCCTTACCGATGCAAGAGGAGGAAAAGATTGCAAGTTTTGGAAGCACTTGCATCACCTCATTCCAGCATTGATCAGATCTGTAAATCAACAGAAGGTTTAATCTTGTTCCTGTAAAAGGAATGATGTCTACTGGGATTCTGATTCTCCTTAAAGCTGCAAAAGGCTTTGATAACTTTGAGGGATAGACTGTGTATGACAAAAACAACTTTAGTGCAGATCCTGATACCATCTTACCTCTGCACTGAGAGATGCTGAGCAAAACAGCCTCTGCTGATTTGGATGGAAGCTGCAGGCTGTAAGCTTTGCTTAGGATGTTTGCTTTTGAGTTATTCCGGAACAACCGACGTGGGCAGGTGCCTGTGCTTAATGTGGACTGTAAATGTGACATACTATTTTCTTGGGCATTCAGTTTATAAGAACCCATATGGAACTACTTCTGCTTTTTTTTTTTTTAATGTTTTAATTTTAATTAAGTCATTGCTGAAGAGTAGGGCAGTTGAAGCAACAGACTCGTAACACTTGAGCTCTCTCCGAAATTGATACTTATCCCACTGGTTTGATTACCTCCTCCTCATGATAGTGTAACACACTCACTTAGTATAACTATGATTTGATAAATGCCAGTGTCTGTTCAGGTGTGATTACAGCCTTCTTGTAACTGCACGTTTTTGCAAATACTGCTTTCTGTGCCTGCACAATTCAAATCCTTGTGGAAGCTACCGATGCCTGTTACCATTAAGAAACTGCAGCTAAATCATGCTGTAGATGGAATGCTTGCCAAATTCCCATCTCAAATCAGTGCTAGCTAGATGTACTTGGTTCAGCTATATAGTGGGGTAAAGAAAGTTTATCATCCTGATCGATGAAATCTTAGTATAACATTTTTAGGGTAGATTTGAAACTGAGTATTAGAAGCTCCCAATTGGCATGGGCTGACTGAGGCTTATGAATGCTGCAATAAAACATGTTGGGAAGAGACATACATGGTCTCAGCCTTTTCAAGTGCTCATATGTGGGGAAGGGGTTGGAATGTACTTTTTTGGGTTTGAATTTGAAAAGCAGTGCTGTATCATAGTGCTGTTCTCTAAACAGTTGAGCAGATCTGTTCCTTTGTGATGTTCATTCAGAACTAGTTTTTTCAAAATGCAGTGAAACCTACGTCAAGATTTCTTTTCTCTAGACAGCACACAACATTCCTCTTCTCAGAGGATGGATTTTCCAGATAAGACACTCTCTGGTTTTCCTTAAAAAATAAAGGAGCCATCTTCTATTGCCAGCTGTAAAATGTATCCTACTAAAAAAAAATGCTTTATTTTCCCTTTGAGATTTTTTTTTGTGCTTACTTTTTTTCTAATTTAGTTGGTATTCATTTCTTTTGCACAACATTCTTCCCTGTTCTTCCCAAACACCCTTCAAAACTCAGGGCAGTCACAGCCTGTGACTTAGAGAGGCAACCTGTAAATTCTACCATTAGTTTGTATTTTAAATGTTATTATGTGAAAACACAAATCTTGAAGTACAACCAATTCCTTAGTCCACACTGATGCTTCAACTTTGTGATTTTTCTATTTGTCTGTTTCTGAGATCAATCTGTTCTTATGCTCTGTTTTACATTTTTTTTGAGTCAGAGCAAATACTCACCAGTGCAGGTCCAAGCAGACTGTTTAACTGTTCTTTTGAATCCCAGGATAAGTGAAAATTTGAAAACAGTTTAGGGCTGAATTCAAATGAACAAAGTCCTAAGAAGCTTTGTAAAATAGGATTTGAAAACAATCAGTAGGCTTTTCATTACAGCCTCATTTTCTTTGCAGGTGAAGGAAGATTCTGATTCTGGGCTAATTGGTTGTGAAAAGAAGATGAACAAATGAAATCTGTTTATTTTTTATCCCTCTCTTGCCTCATTTTTTAATCTTCTCATTTTTTTCTGTTTCCCTACTGCTGGCAAGGAATGCAATTACGGATGGGACACTTTACAGCCTTTCTATCAAATCTGCCAAGATTGAAACTCCCGCAGGGATAACATTTTTTTAAATGTACCGAAGAGCAGGAGATTGTTTGAACATTCAAATGTTCATCCAACTCATTTGAAAAGAAAACTCTTCTCCTTCCAGCCAGTGTGCCTGTTCTTGATGGATAGCTCCAGTCTAGAACTACAACATATTCAGCATTCTGGGGATTTTATCTTTGAAATTGTGCAAGAGAAATACCAAGTTAAAGGGTGGGAGGAAGCAGAGGGGGAGAGAGGGGGAGTGATGAATGTCATTTGTGATGCAGCTACTTGGTACATTTCTGGAATAAGATCACATTTATTTCCCCACGACACGGACTGGGACAGTCTCTGTTGAAACAGAGTTCTAGATAAGCAGTGAGCACCCTTCTTCTCTGCTGCCCTCTTCTCCCCTTTCCCAGAATTAAAGCACAGGTGCTTTGTCTTTTGGGCAAAAAGAGCCAGCTTGTGGTCAGCTGGTGCCTGCACTGAGCCTAAAGGAGTAGGCAGTGGGAGAAAAGGGAATAAAGACTTCCTTTAGGCACTCAACGCTTATTAGTGTACATTGACTTTTGCTTTAGCTTGAAATCACATCCCAAACTAGGGGCAAGTTATGTGAAATGCATTTGAGGTAACACATTAGAGGCAGCGAGTGCAGTGCTTTAACTGTGAGTGGGAGGGGATGCAGGGCACCGAGGGGGACCCTTCGTGTAGGTTGCAGGGTTTGGTCTGCGTGCACTGCAAGATGTACTGACCCGGTGTGGGCACGGAGGGCGAGGAGCAGGCACGTCTTGTAGGTGAGCAAAGGGCCGGGGCTCCTGGGGCTGCAGGCGAACAAAGAGGCTGGGGGTCTTGAGCCGTGCTCCTGCAGCTCTGGATGCTGTGCTGCACAGTGCTGTGCCGTGCCAGCTCCGCATGCCGGTACCGCGGTGCCGTGCCATGCCAACCCTTCACGCTTGGGTACCGGCCATGCTGTGCCAGCCCTGTGCTCCGGGTGCCGCACCGTGCCGGCCCCACGTGCCAAGCACCGCACCGTGCTGTCCGGTGGGAGGCTGCGGAGGGCTGAGCCGGATGCAGCTGCTCTCCAAGGCACCTGCCTGCCCAGCCAGGCAAGAAGCACGTCTGCAGCGGGCAGTTTCATTGCTCAGGCTTTCATTGCTGCCGTGTTTTGCACCCCATAATGGGAAAATCAGCTTTATCGGGAAAACAGCTCATTCTCTGGATTCCCTCTGAAAGACGCCTTCTGCATAATGTGGAAGGAAGGAAGGCTTTTGACTTTGTTCATTTTAAAAAAGATTGCAACGCCTGCCCCCTCCTCCCTCCTCTTCCTAACGAGACTCTGGTTCCGCACAAAGGATTTATCATAGCCATGCAGCACTCACCTTCTCCGGCCACATCTTCCTCAGCCTGCTGGGCTACTTTCAGAGGGGGAGCGCCAGCAGCGGCATGAAGCTGGAGCCTGACTGTGGAGGTTCCCGAGCCCCTGCTGCCTGGGTGCTCTCGTGCCCCTCGTTCTTTACAGCAGAGCAGCTGAACGGGCGCCGTACTTGCGCTGCAGCTGCGGGGAGGGTGGAACCACTCCACACACCCTCAGCAGCGCTCGCTGAGCGCAGCCAAATTTTTCAACTTTATTTAGGGGGAAGAATGGATCACATGGGGAGCTTCACCGAATGGGGAGGAGCATGGTAGTGCAGAATCAGGTCACTAACATAAAAACCCAGGAGTTAGTCACAAAGATTAACGCTGCTAGCATAATCCAGGCATGAAAAGCAAGCTGAGACAAAGGCAAGAGATGCTTATGGGAATTAAGTGCTTCTGTTTGCCTCCCTTATCTGTGTCATTACACAGGGTAATCTTTTGCTCCTTACATCAGGTGAGTTTTCCTACTTGAGTAAGAAATAGAGTGGAATGTGTAAGAAATGTTTTTAGCTTCTAAATAATTCTGAGACAATGCCCTGGGCTGTCAATTTGATATTTCCACTGGCTTATTGTTTAGTATCTCAAATGCTTGGTTTGTCTCTGTTCTGCCATGTTGTATCAGTTAGGTCCAGGACAGATGCTATAGACCCGTTCCAAAACACACATGTGCCCACATAAAACAGCCAGACAAAGGCAGGAAGGCTGCTGGCTGATCCTGTATTGTCCCACTGGCTGAGAATTAAGTTTCTGTGATGCTTTTTTTCTGATCTGGCATTCCTGAGGAGATGGTAAAGATCCTATGAGGGGTGTATATAAAGCAGAAGGTGTCCCTGTGTGCCAAGGACTGCAGCAGGATTCCTACTACTTTTAATATCTGTGTTTATTTAATCATCAGTGATGCATCCAAAAACCTTCTGATGTACTTAGGTTATTTAGGGACCCAAACTCAAATGCAGATTCCTAAATGTGGTTACTAAAATACACATTTATCTTGTGAAGAAATGGGCCTGACTTTGATAGGTGCTAAGCAACTGTTCTGCATTTCCGTCTGCTTTTACGTCACATCCCACCTTCTGCCACGTTCCTCCTGTCCACATTTGTAAAAAGAAATTAACTTGGAAAACTAGGCTGTCTTCTTCTTTGCTTACAGAATCGTCCTGCCCCAAAGAACCCAAATACATGATTCCAGACAAAGGGGAAATCAGGAACACAGCGGCTTGCCGCTACAAAGAGGCTCCATTTGTCTGGTTTGTATAAAGCTGCAGGACAGCCTGTACATCTTGTGCCCCAGAATTACTCAGTCATCTAACAGTTGCACCTGTCTACAGAATAATTGCACTTCCTTCAGCCTGTAGACAAATCAACCATCTGTGGCAGTTAAAGGCTGAAACAAAATGCTGAATCCTGGCAACTTGCTAATGAAGGGCTCAAGTTAGTTTGTAGGAGCCTCTGGGTTGGGAGTCATGTTAATTGAGCTACTAAAGCAAGAAAAACAACCTTCCTGTCAGTATAAATCAAAATATGTAGCTCTAAATTCTCTGAAGGTAAATCTGTAGGGTGTAACTTAGGCTTCTTGCTCTCGTTTCCCCAAGCCTTGGGTGTAAAGGAGCAGCCTGTGCCTGTTGTAGGCTGCCTGCGGTCTCTAAAGGAATGGAGGAGTACAGCTGCTCAGAGCGGAGCAGAGAATAGCAATTGGTTCCTTTATAGGGCAAATCACTGAAGTGTAGGAAAAGCACTTCGCATCTTTGCTACAATACAGATGTACTGAAAACACAGTTTGAACCTGTCCATGTGCTTTAAATTAAAAAATGGTGTATTTCTGAGCTAGTCTTGTAGGGAACCTGTTGTTTTTTGACCTGGAAATTGTTCCAGGTGGACAGACACCTGATTTTCAGCAGAGGTGTATGAGTTGTTTGAGATATTTTCTGTAGTTTTTATTTAAAATAATTTCTCTATTTTGCTTCATAGCAATGAAAAAACAAGTCTCATTAGCCATTGTTTATATTTTCTTCTCCAAGTTATTTTTTTCCTTATTGACAAGTTTTTTTCTCTTACGCTATTCAGAAACCTTCCTCCTGTATTTCTTTCTATCCACAGCTTTTAAATGAAGTTTCTTATGTCTCCTGGAAAAGCTATGTGTATGTGTGTACATATAGAGATGTAGGCATATGTGTATGTTTTTACATGCAAAGTCCAGGCAATACAAATTTCTATAAGTTTGTATTAGTTCAAAGATTTTTTTTCCTCCCTTTTTAGTTATATTTATCTTTCCCTGATATTTTTGCTTCTGAACTTATAAGTGAGCCCATATGGAATGTCTGAAAATGGTCCAATATGTTTTTAGGCTACACCAAGTCTTATTTTTTTTCAGATACTTGTCCTTAATATCCAGTATGTCTAAGAAACTGAAATTTCTCACACTATCAGATTTAGCACTTTCTGAATTTTTCTGAAGCTATTTCAAGGCTTGTAAGTGGTCAGAAGCTATCAGGTATGATGAAGATTGTGGCCATGTTGGAGGGTTACTGTCACACTGAAAACAATCTCTGTGTAGTATAGCACTCTCTCCTGCAGGAAATCACCTATTTTCCAGGACATCAGTGGTTTGATAAATACTTTATGTCATGGTTAATCCCACAGGTCTAAGTCAGCAGTGATATATGAAAGCCCAGCTCCTGCTGATTTGAATAGGACACAAAAGTACTTTGGTCTGTCTCTTGACAGTGAATGCTATTGGAATTTCATTGGAGCCATTAGAAAGGGCACAAGATATTCTAATGATAATTGAAGGAATAGGAGAAAAATGAGCATTTGTAACTCCTTGAGAAGTTCTTCAAGCTTTGAAAAATCGCCCAAAGCTTCTCCTCCAGTCTGCAGTGAAGTGCTCCTTATTCATCACTGCAGAAATCTCTGATGTCCCAGTCAGATTGTTGACACTTCCATTTCTGCTTCTATTTTAGATGTTGTAATTAGTAATTTTTCATGTTTCCAGTTTGTCCTTTCTCTTAGAAATTTAAACTACAATGACAAATTAAAGCACATCATTTACTGATGATACTGATCAAATAGTGTAGGTACCTGGTACAAAGGGATTATTCCAAGGTAATGTGTTTTATTTTCCTGCCTTCAGTGTTGTCAGTGTTATCTCACCATGTAAAGACTGAACCAAGACCATTATGTGTAATAGGTCAGCATTTCACCTTGGTGCAGTGAGAAAGGAGCATGGCTTCCCTTATATAGAATAGAGCAGGCATACATTAAAAAAAGAATTATTACAAGCTACGTTTCTTATCAGAGCCAGGCCATCAAATTCCTCTTCATCTGATAAAGGTAAAAACACTCTAGTGGAAGAGTAAAATTTATTACCAAGCATAACAAAATGAATATGCGTTATGCAGAAAGTTTCAATGCTTCTATATTGTTCTTCAGTCCAAATGAGGAGGTTTGATTTTATGAGTAGAGATAAAATTTGTTTTTAA